GACTGCTAAATCAGTGAACCATCGAACTAGCGACAGTAATGTCACTGACGAATCAGTGAATTATGCCGGTGCCTCACCGTGGAGCCAATTCGAAACTGCGAGCAACTGCCACGAGGCCCGCACAACTTTAACCTTCTCAAGCTCAACTGCCCGATGCAGTGTTTTTCACGGGAGTGTTTTGCAGGGAATTAGCGGTAAAGAAAAAATAAAAAATCTAGTTCGTATTTCGTCCGAGGTTGCCGCATTAAGTCTTCTTTAATGTTATTCGAAATTTTATGAAGCGAAGTTCTATTGTCGCGCGGTCTCTGCTGATCGGCGTGATTTATTGTTCGAAAGTTTTCATAGTAGCAAAAGACTCGAAACACCAGAAAATAATATGAAATTTTCGAGGTGAGGCTATTAAAGTGAAACACTAAATTGGATTTTTTTGGTAAATCGTATATGGTGAAGCGTATTTTCGTGTGGCGGTGAGAGTGTAAACTGCGAGGTTAATATTAGTATAGAATGTATATGTGAATACAAGAGCATGTAAAGCGCATGCGCGAATGAAAAGTACATATACATATAATGCGCATGCGCGAATGAGGAATATAATAGTGTACAGCAAAGTACCTGAAGAGCATACGTATAACAACATGCAGCATCTATCAATACATGAAGGTTATATAACAATATACGAACAACACAAGAAAACATACAAGACTGTAAACAGAATATAGAACGAAAGAAAGAAAAACGCAAGTAAAATGACTATCCAGAAGCATCGACAGGATTATATAGAGGCAGCGTATCCTCGAACAGGTCGAAAGTCAAAAGAACGGAATAGTTTGAGCCGAGGGTATTGCTTTGTGGCAGGGTGGCAGAAAGAGGGAAGTCCGACCACCTACTTCGACGGCACAATGGGTCACAAATGCGTGGCGACAGCAGCAACAGATATACGGCAGGCTGATTGCTCGTTGTCGCTGCACGTCGCCGATTGTCGGCTCTCCTTCTGCGGACAGAAGTGTCTTCGTTTGCCGAAACCCTAGTGTCTCTGCCACGAAGTTGATCATCCGAGTGTCCTACGGGCCGAATAGGGAGCAATCGGGACCAGAACATTCTAACGTAATTTAATGGCCCCACCTATTTATTTATGTCCGTGGCCAAACGAAGAGGCGTGTTCTTGCGCGGATTTGTATATTGGCTCGGATTTGTGTATCAAGGATCGCTAGGATCGCTAGGAGAGTGTGGGGAAAATGGCAATGTTGGGTAGAAGGGTTTTGTTTATCGTTGAGGGCAGTCTTAAAGGGGGACGCGTTTTTTAGATTTAATAGTTAGGTAGTGGGATTGTGGGAGGTGCAAATTTGGGAATTGAGGGATTGGAGTAGCAGTTTGGGATATGGGGATTTGAGGATTTAGGGATTCAGGGATTTGAAAGATTGTGAATTTGGTAATTGGGAAATTTGAGAATTTAGGAATTCGGAAAATTGGAAATTTGGGATTTGGGGATTTGGAAGATTGGAAATTTGGGGATGTGGGGTTTGAGGACTTAAATGGTTTGGGAATTAAAGAATTTGAGAATTTGGAATTTTGGGATTTGGGGATTTGGGGATTTGGGGATTTGGGAGATTGGAATTTTGGAGATATGGGGTTTGAGGACTTAAAGGGTTTGGGTCTTAAAGAATTTGAGAATTTGGAATTTTGGGATTTGGGGATTTAGGGATTTGGGGATTTGGAAGATTGGAAATTTGGAGTTGTGGGGTTTGAGGATTTGGGACTTAAAGAATTTGAGAATTTGGGATTTGGGGATTTGGTGATTTGGGGATTTGGGGATTTGGGGATTTGGGGATTTGGAAGATTGGAAATTTGGAGATGTGGGGTTTGAGGATTTGGGACTTAAAGAATTTGAGAATTTGGAATTTTGGGATTTTGGGATTTTGAAGATTGGAAATTTAGGGATTTGGAAATTTGGAAAATTAGAAATTGGACAATTAAGCCATTTGGAAAATTAGAAATTGGACAATTGGGCCATTTGGAAAATTAGGAATTTAAGAATTTAGATTTGGACAATTGAAAATTTGCAAACTTGGGAATACGAGATATCTGCAAATTTGCAAATCTGAATAAAACGTCATATTTATTTAAATGTTTCTTTATTCCATAACAATGAATATACAAATCGATCGTATGTACTTAATGACTTACAAGAATATTACGTGCGTTGGATAAACTCGTCTTTGTACACAACAATTTCCATTCACTGGCCAATCAATAATAATCAAATCGACGAGATTGCGGTTTTCTTTCGTCATAAACAATTTTCTCCGTGATAAAACCCATTCATCGTTCCCCTTCTCTTAAATACACAATATATATTATATACACATTTAATCAAAGCTGTAATTATTTGAAACAGGGTATGCGATTACTAACCCTTTGCATCCCTTTTCGAGCACATAATGTATAGTTTATGAACGGTATAAAATTGTTTTCTTTAAAATTATGAAAACTTATGAAAAATTATTGTGAAAAATTATGGTTATTTTAATACAGTGGATGTGAAGAGGGATGATTGGGGTTTTCATCCCCCAACATATCACAATATAATATTAATTTATATAGTAAAATAAAAATGTTTGTATTTTTTCTTTTAATTTGAATTTTATTAGATTTTAATACTTTCTGATGTTTTTCCTTTTTTTTTAAATAAAATTAATTATACTTAACATTGTATATAATTTCCTCTTTTCCTCCTTTGATTATTCAGGTTGCCCTCGAATATTAACGAATAAGCAATAAATAATAGATAATATAAAATAAACTGTAAATTAGAAAAAATTGCCAGAAAAATATTTCATGTTTTTTATTTCTTTCCCTATACAAGATTTTTAAATTTGCGAATTTTTAATTTAAGTAATTAAGATTACTGTTGGGGTGCAAAGGGTTAATATTAAGTTACATAGAACAGCTTCGTTTAAATTACTCTTACAATCTTAAAATCTATAATATTCACAATCATTTAAATTACATAAGATAGTACACATGTACTATTATACATAAGTTTAGTGGTATAAGTGTAGATATTTATGGTTTTAATAATTTACCGGATGATAAAGCTATAAATGTTGTATTCTACTGTACTTAATTATTCCCAGTATGCTGAAAGTCTATAACATTTTATTTTAAAAGACTTAATTTCTCTTAAATACAGGCGCTATATACAAAATGAGAAACTTTAATGAAAGCTACTAAATACAACAAAATGGCAGTTATTTTTTTATGATTTAGGTGAAACTTGCTTATTTATAGACTACGAATTTTTATGTAAATATTCTTCCAATTATTTTTGTAATTTATTTATATTTTGAGGTAAACATACTTTTTTGTGGAAGTCGAGAAATGCTTACAAAATTTAAAAATATTGTTTTTGTAATTGTTTGAAATTTATTGTAAAATATTTGTAATAATTTTTAAAATCTTTTTGTAATTTATTACAGAATATTTGTAATAATTGATATGAGTATTTGTAACAATTAATATGAATATAATAAATGTGTGTGTAATAATTAATGCAAATATTTGAACTAATTAATAACAAAATATTTTGTAACCAAATATTAATATTAATTTTTGCTGTCAAATATTTAGAGACAAAAATTAAGTATTTTATTTCAATTCTTTTTACAGATTTAAATATTTCTGCGAATTCTAAGTATTTACTGTATTTTCTGAAGGATACCGTTTATATGTTTTCCATAAATATTCATAGTCTGCTTATTAACATAAACTAGTAATTTCATAAATCTTTATTATTATCAAAAAAATTTTATATATTTACATAATTTGTTATTTTACTTTCTTATAAAAAAAAAGAATGAAGCTTTATAAAATTCACATTATTAATTTATTATAAAAAATGAAAGATTTATGAAAGAACCAAAATGCAGATATTTATTAAACAATATACTATATTCACAAATATCTACGATAATGCAGATATTTTTCAAGTACTATAGAATATAAATCACTGTAAAACGGTGTATTATTAATAACAATTACTAAATGTTTACGTTCTATTTACAAAACTTAAGGCACAAGATTTTAAGAACTATATTTCCGGTTTATGTAATCTCAATTTTTTTTAAACGTGGAATCTTTAGAATCATAATTACAATTTTTTAAAGGCGAAATCTTTAGAATTATAATTACAATTTTTTTAAAGGTAAAATCTTCAAAATCATAATTACAATTTTTTTAAAGGAAAAATCTTTAGAATCATAATTACAATTTTTGATTATTTAAAAAATTCGAAAAATTGTCACTCTTTATTAATGTCACTCTTTGTGAATAAATACAATTATTTATTGCAAAAGAAAGTAATTATTTTCCAAAGAAAGTTCTGTTATGAAAGGTAACGCAATTTTAATAATTAATAGATTATATTTCATTGCTCGATTAATACAAGTTTCTACAAAAATAAGCGTTCATGATAGCGAAATAATCTCTATTTACATATTTGCAGTGCAATAATATTACGCTTATAATTTAGAGTTCAAAAGAGAGCTCGAATTTCTATTAAGTAAATTTATCTACATCTTCTGAAAAAACTAACTTGAAGTCCTGTCACGAAACGCAGATTAGCAAAAATAATTGTAAATTAGCAGCGAAAAATAGCCAACGGGACTTCAACTATAATACAAATATACAATAACATATAAAACAATGTTAAAATATAATACAAATGCACGTACAATGCTGTAAACCGTTGCAATAACGATTATTTCATTTCTCCTTTCCACGAAAGTATCTCTAAAATTTTTTACAAAAAGAGAATTGCCTATTATTTACTAATTTCATGAAATTTTTGTTTCTATTTTCGATGCTTTATTGACAATTCTTTGTTAACAAAAAATTACATTTTTAATATTTCTGATAAAATTCATTTATAATAAATTTCATTTGACTTTTCATTAATTATGGCAATTTTTCTTAATTTTTTAATGAATATAACAGAACAAATATGTAATTAATATGATACCTGTATATGCAACCATATGCAAGAATAAATAATTTATTTGTCAATGAAGCATCAAAAAATGTGCTCCCTAATTAATTACACTTAAGTATCCTTCATTTGAGGAATACCCTCACAAGACATTATTCTGATAATTTATCAGAATTCAACACAACTCCAATAAAATTATAACTGTAGCACAATTCTGTGCAATAATTAATTGTGTAGAGTACTTTACTGACGTCCGCCATTTTACTTCCACCTCCGCCATTTTGATTGTAAAATAGAGTTCAATGAACTCTACCGCAGACCTGGGATTCAATGGCACCCAGATAGGGGTAGCCACTCTTTGCCTCGCTTGGACTATGTGGTGTCACGTGATGGGTCATCCCTGATGGGGCTGGCACCCCTGAAGATGCACCCTGCACCATACACGCGCTCATGTTCGACGCTGTGGGGCTCACGCTGCCGCCTAGGGTGCCCAGATTTAAGTTGCTGCTGGCTAAGTTTGATGCTAGGTTACTGCTACCGTAATGGGATGCGTTGAATAGTCTGTAACAGAGAAATTAGGGAAACTTGATATTTTGTATGGTAAATCATTTATATGAAATGTTGTATTGAAGTATATAGTGAAAATTATAGGGAAATATTGTAATGAAGATTCAGATGAAATGTTATAATGAAGATTATAATGAAAATTATGGTAAAATAATTATAATGAAATTTATAGTGAAAATTATGATGAAAT